TAAATTGTAATAAGATCAGATTGACCGTAAATATCAATGATTTTGTTTTTTGTGGAGTTAAGTCGATCGTTGTCGGGATCACCACCTCCTGCCCAGCCACCCCCTGTCTCTCTCGCTCTCTCTCCCTCCCTTCCTCTCTTTCTTTATCTAGCTCGCACACACTGTCTCCGTCTCGCTCTGCCCCATCTAGCCCCTTGTCTAGCCCTCTCTTTTTTTCTCCACTGAGTCCTTTGGAAGGGTTTTGTGTTTTTATTTTCAGTTCAATTCCCTGGAATTTAAAGATCTATCACACCATTTTGGCTTGAAAAAGAGAGTCTCTTATGCACACACACTCGCAAACTACGCACACGCACACACACACACTACACACAAACTGCACTACACACACACACACACCTGAACATCGAAAGCTTTCTCTTTCTCGTTGTACAACTCTCTTTTTTCGTTTTTGCTTCTCCCACTGTCTGTCTTTTGGGCAAAACCATTCGCCAGCACCCCGAACAGCCAACGGCGGCACCTAGCCAAACACTTAACCGCTTACCAACATCATCATGCTCATCATCATCACCAGCATATCCAGCAAATCCAGCAAATGCAGCACTTCCAGCAGCAGAAGTACCACAACCAGAGCCACCAGTCGAAGTACCACAACCAGAGCCACCAGCCGAAGTACCAGCCCCACTCGCAGTCGACGAAAAAGTCCCAGGGATTCGGGATTGGGATTGGCATTGGAATACCGCGGCCCAGTCGATTGCCCAGCTATGCCACGGCGACGGCCACCAGTGCCACCAGCTACGCATCCACCGCCCAACTAGCGCAGCTCTTTCCAGGCGGTGGCTCAGTTGGTGGTGGTGGTGCTGGTGGTGCTGGTGGTGGTGGTGGTGGTGGTGGTTCCGGGAATGGCAATGGTGCCCTGGACTATGGCAGCATAGGTTCCGGCAGTGTTGGCCTGGTCGGAGCACCCTCATCGCTGTGGTATAGCGTTCTGGCCCTGCCCTTCGATGACCAAAAGCTGGGGCGGCGGGAGTTTAGCAGCTATGGGCGTGGCTATCGTGCCCGGGCCGGACTCTTCAGCAGCACCCATATGTAACAGGGGAGGGGGAAACCCCGGATAAAAAGGAGATACAATCATATCAAACCAAGCCAAAGAGACCTGCTACTACCTGGAACAACCACTATCTAACTGAATGAAAAAAAACACGTGCCAAAGATGCAAGACAAACGAATTATATGCTAAACGAATCACACAAAACTAGAAAACAATGCGGCCATATGCAAATGTAAATGTAAGCAGCCCAAAAGCAAACAACATTTATATCAATCAACCAAACCAAAAACAACACCACACGAAACAACAATCAGTCAGTCAGTCAATCAGTCAATCAAAACAAGCAACACTGAAACACCAAACAATTAAAAAATAAACCTGAAAACTGCTAAAAACTAAAAGCTGCGAATGCTGTGGGCTGTGAGGCGATATTCCTACTCCTTGCTGTTGCACCTCCATCAATCAATCAGTCAATCAATCCAGTCAATCAAAGCATTTCATCACCCACCCACAAACACACACAAATCGGGACTCTCTTTCACATACACACACCTACACACAAACAGAAAACACACACACAAATACACACACACACTGCACGCCTGGATCGCTGTCTCTGTCTTTTTTGCCTGCCTGCCTCTTTCGCCCACCCCCTCTATCTGTCTCTCTCTCTCCATTCATTTATCTCTGTCTCTCTGTTTCTGTCTCTGTCTTTGTGTTTGCGTAGTTCTCCGTTTTTAACCCTGTTTTGTTTTGGCCTAAACTTGTAACTAACCCAACACCATTTCGTCCTGGCATTCAGCATTACCCTTTGAAATAGTGAAAAGATTTACTAATGGATATATTTCTTTGCCATCCCCAGAAATCGAACCACGCAACACTATCGCCATCGCGCCTCGCCCGACTGCAACACGGTGGCCAGTTTCGACAGCTCCACCTCGGGATCTCGCAATGGACTCAACAGGTGGGTGCACAATTCTCACTTCTCCAAATTAGTCCCGAATTTATTTAAGATACATATTTATATAGGAGGTGACTCAGGGTTAAAACTCTCTTATGTAGCTATCTGAAAAAATGCTGAATTAAAACAATATAATCTTTCGGAATAAACCCAATCGAGTTCCGGATTAAAAATACATTGGTGCATACTTTTATACACCCTATTATAAATTTCAAAACTCCATCGACTTATATTGCATCATGGAAAGCGAGATTTAAATCAATATATTTCTTTGGGTATTATAAACCTTATAATAAACCTTTGCTTACAGAAATTTTCTTTAATTTTAAACTATTAAACTTGAGCGTGCCAATTAAAAAAGTAATATAGGTCTTAAAGTATAAATGAAATATTTTTTGTTTTAGAAACAATTTTTTTTTAAATATGTCAAATTAACATGCTCCTTAAATCGACAAAAATATAGTATACGTTTTTGCATTTAATGTGGCGTGAAACCAATTTCCAATATTTTTGAAAGTCAATTATCCTTACTAATATGTTATAATATCTTCCATAGGTACTACCGCCAAGCCTGGGAGAACCTGCACGAGTCCGCCTCAAAGAACAGCTCCCATAACGCTCTGCGCCGCAAGGAGACCCTCGATCCGCCGAGCATGACCCGTTCACGCGACAATCTGCGCGACAATATGCAGCGCTCCCGCGAAAATCTCGACAGGTGAGTTGACTTTAAAATCAAATCATACAAAGGTTTCATAAAAATACTATACGTGTGTTTGATGGCATTTTATAGAATTTAAAGTTGTTAATTGTAAGGTTCTCCTGAGATTTTTGCAGAAAACCCCGTATGGAAACCATTGCTAAATATCTATTATCATTTCTAACTCCAAAAACAGATGCGGCAGGGACAACTACGGCATGCGGGATGACTCCGAGATGGTGGTGTCCTCCGTGGTGTCGGACGTGTGTTTGAAGGGCGAGAAGAAGCGCCACCACCACCACCACCACAAGAGCAGCTCACGCAACGGCGACTACCGCGATCGGGATCAGTCCTCCGGCAGACGTGACCACCACCGACACAGTGGTGGTGGCGGCGGCGGCGGAGGCGGTGGTGGCAACCACTATTGACCAACCATGGTCATCACCATCAACGTGGAGCGGCAGTAGCCAAACGAACGAAAGTCGGCGTGGGAATCAGAATCAGAATCGGAATGGGATTGGCAAATCAAAATCGCAATCGAAATCGAAATCTGAGAGCTGCAGCAAGAGCGCAACAACGAAACGTTTTTTGTTTAATTTTAGCAACAGTTTTTTTTCGCGCTTTAGTTATGTAAGATTGAGAAAAGGGTTCGGCAAAAATGTTTGGAGGAGACTTTTCTGTTCATAGCGAAAAGAAGCGCAAGAGATCCTTTAACTTGCAAGTCAATACTTAGCTATACTCGTATGCGACGTTCATTCGGGGCGAAAATACTGAGGAGTCTGGAGATTTAAGAACCATTGCTTACAGAAATATCAAAAAATGTTGAAAGCCCAGGATGGTAATTCCAAATTTGAACTATAAGTATAAACCTATTTATAAAATCACTATAAATATGGCTTTTTTAGTACTCTTAAAATTTGATTGGACTGTAAAGCCCAATGTTTTATATTTTCAAAAATCCAAAGTTTTATATTTTGTTTGGCGACCTTAAATCAATAATTTTACTATAAGTTTTTGTATTGTAAGAGATGAAATTTCTAAAAAAAAAGACATATTTCTCTAGAATTTGATGCTTTTTAAAGCGCCAGAGCTCCGGCGAACCCCACTTTATAAGTACATTGTGCACTCGTGCTCAGATTTGGTCCGAACTCGTATAATTTATTCGCAAAGCTTTTGTAAGGTTCTTAGTTAAATTTTCTCTATGAATTAGTTGTATGTAAAGGCGTGAACAGGGCAAAAAGGCGAGGCGTAGTAATTAGTTGCAAGGCACCAGCACCCACACCACATCCCCAACCACTCCCACATCTCCTTCCTCCTCAAGGTCGCCCATTTTCACCCCAATTTACCACCCAGCAAGCAGATCACAGCTGCAGCCAAATTATGTGCAACTTGGTTTCGTTTGAGGTCTCAAGCCAAATCGACTTGCTCATAGTCGCAAATTAGTTACGTAAACACTTACACTAGATAGAACCATCCATTCCATTTTTTACCCCAAAAAGAATCCACACTCAAAACACACGCACACACCAATCACAACCGAAATTAATAAAATCGTAGTAAGCGCGTGCCACAGAACTTACTGTATAAAAATCTGCACAGGATCGAAAGAGTATATAATTACCAATTATACCGCACCAAACTGCAACCACTCCATTATTTTTTTTTACCAACCCATTATACATATGTGTGTATCGCCCTGTATTTGTATTTCTAGAGTCTTGTAATTTGTAGATTTTGTTTTCGAGTGTGTATCGTCGAGCGGTCCAGTGCTAAAATACCGCTTAGTATGCAATATTATTTGAATTTCGTGCATTATTTCCAATGTAAATAATAATAATTTATTTCATAAATAAAACAATGAATATTTTTACTAAACAATTGGGCGTTTTTTTATTTGTTTGGGAAAGAGAACGCTAAATATACTAGATACTATTACAACTATGAGATACTACTTGACCAGCTTAACAAAAAGTTAATGATTTAGTTTTGGTCTTAAAAAGCCACCAGAAAAGTTTTATTTCAACAATTAGCTGTAATGTTATACCTTTTGTTCTTAGTTGTTATTTTAATTTGAAATTGGCGGGCAACTATGTGGCGCCATCTGTTGGCGGAATCAGCAATACCATTACATTTTAATCTGCTGTTAAAGTAAAACCAATGTGCTGTTAAGCGCACTATCGAAATATCAAATGTAATCGATAGTTAAGGCAAGCTGTGCTGTTAAGCGAAAGTATTCTGTTATATAACAATATTAACTTTATAAAATTTGTAAAATTCAATTTTTATATTTTTTGGCGAATTTATATTTTGTCAGTATTTTGACCGTAACAATTCAAATAATGTATTGCCATAACTCGTTAAACTTCTTATAAAATTTCTTATCGACTGTAATTCCAGCAGTAATCAGCAGCCATATTAGTTTACCCAATTTTCATAAAAATTTGATAACCTTATAAAAAATTAAAAAAAAATGAATTTATAAGAATTTTTCAAAATCAGTCAGAAACTAAAGGAGATTGAATACTGATTGTAAGCTGTACAAAACAGTCACTTCTTTAATTGACTTATTTTGAGCCAGCCTAAAAATTGAAAAGTGCCCAATATTTTGATATTACAAGATCAGCCGGAAAGTAATGGGGACAGATTTCTTAAGATGTTGGCTATACAGAACGGTCCATTCTTTAATTGTTGGTCCCTTTTGGACAAGAAACGACGAATAAACGCTTTAAAAATCCTGAATATATTTAACAACATATTTAATTTTATTTTAAAATTTTGGTTACAAGCTTCACTATTTATGTTATTTTGGATTTAATGCCCTCTTCAATTTTGAAATAGTTTTGTGTTTTTTTGACATTACATAAAAGTGCGCTGTCTGGCAGTGACGGCAGGAATACAAAATAAAGTTTAAAGATTTTAAGAGAGAACTTAATTACTAACTAATATATTTATTAATTTTGTAATGAATTTCCCGGACTGGTTAAAAACTCAACTAAACTTATTCTTCAACCGTCCGAAATCGATAGTTGGTATGGCGACGGTCACACTGCTCTCCAAAATGCAGCCCTGCGCGTCGGCCATATTGTGACAGCAGCTGTCAATTGCGCTCTTCCTCTTTCTTTTTCGACCGTTCGCCACTCAAGATGGTGCGTAGCAAATTCTCGTAAAACCGAATTAAAATCGCCTAATTACTGAGACATCCCACTGAATTTACGCGAAATAAAAATACGTTTATTGAGTGGGCCAGTTGAAGATTAAAATTTGCTAAGAATTTGTGACCTAAAATTCGTTGGCGAACTTAATTCGGTTGTTTGCTGTGTTTGGGCGGAATATTAATCAACTGTGTTTACATTACAGACGAAGGGTACCTCCAGCTTTGGTAAACGCCACAACAAGACGCACACCTTGTGCCGTCGCTGTGGCCGCTCCTCCTACCACATCCAGAAGTCGACCTGCGCCCAGTGCGGCTACCCAGCCGCCAAGTTGCGTTCCTGTGAGTGTTTATCTTCTGGGAATACTACCCAACCAATGTATCCAATAGTAGAGTACTAATCCAAGTAATATCTATGCAGACAACTGGTCGGTGAAGGCCAAGAGGAGGAAGACCACCGGTACCGGCCGCATGCAGCACCTGAAGGTCGTGCGCCGCCGTTTCCGCAACGGATTCCGCGAGGGCACCCAGGCCAAGCCCAAGAAGGCCGCTCAGACCAGCAAGTAGGCGTATATCCTATCCCACCCCGGATAACTACATGTACTCCACTTGGGCCAGAACGTCAGCCTCCGGCTCTGCGGGGAAGAAAAACAACAGCAACACCATCTAAATCCACAGTTAAACCGGCCCCAAAAACGGCTAATAAATCGCTCGAGCGCTAATAAATGAACGTTTTTTTTTATTAAGTGAAAATATCCCATGGTGACTATTTTTTTAAAGTTTTGTGCAACAAAAGTGAGATGTATTTTTTTTAATGTGATTGAAAATGGCGAAAAGCATGCGGGGAAACCGCCAAAATGCATATAACCCCCTTTTTTAGAAGACAATTCCGCGTGGTTTTCATACAGAATAGCGTCTCTCTAGAATCCCATATTTTGAGGGTTTCAAATATAAATCCCTTAATTTATATTGCCCGCTGTATAAGCACAAAGTATCACCGATCAATATTCAGAACCTCGAGCTGCACTAACCAACAAAAGAGCAGCATGTAAATTTGTTTTATATTAAACATGAGACAAAAACAATCGAGTAAAGCTACCATATATTTTATTTATTAAAATATATCTTTAATTATAAGTTTTGGTGCTACCAAAAGCTTATTAATGTGTTTCAAACGAAAGAAATATTTAAAATCACTCAAAAATCATTTTACTTTGCTTAACAATTGTATGACTTAGTTTTGGAAATAATTTCGTTAATGGAGTGCTGGTTCTGATACTTAAAGTGTGATACATTGTGGTTAATGGTAAAGCAATATATACGGAGCAACTAATATTCAGTTCAATTATTACCTTGGAATTGCAGAAGAGTTTCAATAATGTGTTCAGATAATTTACCACCAGGCCATGTGCCTTTATTGCATTTTTACAAGTGTAATTAAAAGGTGCCGTTTATTATAAAATAAATCAAAACTAAATATGATATATATTATATAGCAGTATTAGTGTTAAAATAATATTGACAGTAATTCTTGAAAACAAAATAGTTTGAAATTAAATCGGAATCGGTGCCTTAAGAAGTACCTGCAATTAGCAAGAAATAGAGCAGCTTTTCTAGATATTCATGTTCAAAAATACCCATTACGGGTACCGTATTTTAAAATGCCATTGAGAATTACAAATATATTAGTTGCATCCTCAATTTTAGTTTTTTCTCCATACAGTAATCAATTAAATTATTGTTTTAGCAACTTGTTTAGAAACCCTCAAAAATATAGAAATCAGATAAAGTAACATATTAACAATTCAGAATTAATTTTATCAGAGCTTGTTAGTTTTATAAACTATTCTCTTATTTTCAACAAATAGCTTTTACTAGCAGATTTATCAATTAACTTTACAAAAGATGTTAGTGAATTTTGTATATTATTCGTTTTGTTTCGAAAGGAAGTTTTTTATGTAATTATTGTTAATATTTTTAAACTATTTGTAATTTAATCCAAGAAGCTTTGCGAGCATAACAAACATCTGAAACAATCAAATATCAATATGTTGGTAGCTATACAATGTTTTGATTGAAAACTAAAAGTCACATGTGGGGTGTTGGGTTTCACAGTTTTACAGCCTAGATGTGTCGGTATTTTCCAGTACTTCGCAAACCTTTACCAACTTTTAGTTAGCTTCTAAAACTGTGCCGACTTTTGCACACAAGTTATCAAAGGTTCTTCGACTGTATGTTCTGAATTTGAATATTGCATACTTTCGGGAATCAATAACGAAAACAAAAGACTTCAAAGTTTTTGTAACATAGATATATTTCGTATTATTAAATTACGATTAAAAAAAAACTGACATTCGACCTCGCTTAAGGTAACGTAAGTATTCTAAGAAACTTGGGCTCCGAGAGTCTCAGCTGGTACCCCTTAGAATAGTAGCTCCTTAATGGGGGGAGGGAACTCCAGTGACTTCCTCTGGAAACCCGGTTTAGCAAGCAAGATAATATCGTACATCAAGCAGTGATTGATTGGTTTATGACTACGAATCGGTTCTCATTTGTCGCTCCATTTGACTAACATTACAATTTACAATGTATAAAGCGTTCCACTAAAACTAAGGGCGGTGTTGATCGGGACGGATTTGGGATATTGGGATTTGGGGGTTGTGGGAATTTCGCTGGGGTTACTAAACATATTGCCACTAAATGCTAAGACATTTTTACAAGTTATATAGCTAAGAAAGACGACTGTTTGTTGTCCAGACTAATCGGAGTGTGGATGCTGTGGTTGGAGGAGGGCAGTGCTGCTGGGCTTTGAGTCTGGTGTCGTCGCCGCATCCTGCTTATCCCTACTCGGATCTGCACTATCTTTGTTCGCCACCTTTGCAGAAGATGGTCTTTTGATGAGCAACTTCTTCAGATTCTGGAAGGGCGCATCGAAGAGCACCGTCAGGGCCACGGAGGCCAGGAAGATCGATATGAATTCGTTGGTATCGAGCTGTGGAGGTCAGTAAAACAAAATTATTTCAGAATGGACTCTAGGAATTGACTGCCCAAGCACTCACAATAATCGAAACAAAGTTGTAGTAGTGATGTACGTGACGCCTTCGGCCGACATTAAAGAAGAACACGGGGAACTGCGTCAGGTAAATGGCATACGATAGCTTCGTGGACACCTGGAATCCCCGCCAGGCAAACAGCTTCGTCAGTTTATCTGCTCGAAAAATAGATGTATTAGATTATAGTAATGCGGAATCGAAGCCAAAGCATCCCCTTTGCGAAAACCCACTTGTGTATCCATTGTGCGAGACAAAGACGATCCAGGAGAAGAACAGGCACCAGGCGATCGGCGCAAAGGCGGCATAAATAGCCGCATGTGTGGAATTGTACACGTAGTTGATGTCGCCCATGGGCGCGGGTCCCAAAAGCGAGGCCAAAACACAGGCGGTGGCCACCAGCCATCCGAGTCGCAGCTGCAGGCCACTCAGCTTGGCGTTCTGGTATTTGCGCAGCACATAGCCCAGCAGGATGCCCATGATGTACACCGTGGAGCGGTGGGGCGGGAACGAGTACATGTAGTCGGCGGTGCGGAACAGACGCTGGATACTAAGGATTACACGAAACATTAGTGGGGACTAGTCTGGTCAGTACTCAAAGAAGAGTAGACCCAAAAAACGCCCAAAAGCCTAAATATGGCTTCAGATCCATTAACATTAGCTAAAGAATTCGCGTGTAAGAGATATCCAAGCTGTGCTAAAGAATTCGCGTTTAAAAACATTCAATGATATATGTACACTATGGGTAAACAATATCCCATCAATTAATTCTCTTCTTTTTTGCAAACTGATGCGATATAAGTAAATTGGGAACAACTTTGCTCCATTTTTTAGCTTACGAATTCGCGTTAACCCACAAAGACTAGAGATAACCACGTAAACCCCAAAACTTACTTGGTGCCAAAGTAGATGTAGTTGGACAACTGGTTGACAATCGTTGTGTAGTACCTCGCCGCAGTTCCTACGGTGCAGAGGAGCAGCAGGGTGAAGAGACCCCTTTTGGGCCACCGCCAAAGTCCCAGGATGAGGAGCGGAGCCACCGCAAAGAGCTCCGTATCGATGCCCAAATGGTGCGTGTGCGTCAAGCACATCTCGCTGAAACCGAAATAGTTGTGGATGAAGAGCAGATTGCGCCACCAGTTCTTCTTGCAGATGTCCGCATGATGGCCCACCACCAGGTTCCACTGGGGTCCACTGCCCCACAGGGGCAACACATAAGTGCAGAACAGGATCAGGGCGGCCAGGGGCGGAACAATCCTACAGAGGGTAAGCAAATCTTTTAATATTCGTAATGAAAATCTAGTATTTCTTTTCTTACCTCATCAGCCGACTTATGTACTCGTTCTTCAGCCTGATGGGCTGCTGCTTCATTAGACGACCGAACAAGGAGTACGCCGTGAGCATGCCACTGAAAAGCAGGAAGGGATCCGTGTACAGGGATGCAGCTCGTCCAATCACCGTCCACGGCTGACCCAGACTTTCCGACATGGCCGTGCGGTTGTTGTACGGATTGAAGAACATGGCCATGGACTTGTGCGAAAAGATCAACATGATGGCATTTAGAAAACGGATGCCATGGACCGCCTCAATGTCACCCGGAGCACTGCTCGTGCTGAACAGCCAGCGCAGGTTCTTGTCCAACGAAAATGCCGTGAGCCAGGCATCTGAAAATTCAATTTTAAATTACATCATTTTCTTCGACCCACGAACTATGATTTGAGCTCTTAAACTCATATCATATTTGGAACGAAACACTACGGGAATTTTGTTGATTTTCAAATAATTTACAAAGGAACTTTTAACAAACCTACTCAAAGATCACTACAAATTTCATTGACCCTAAGACATTTTTGGGCAACAGATTTAAAAAATGTATTAGCCTTACATAAGCAACTCTTTTAACAATTTTTAAAGCTTTCACTGACTTTATGAGTTTTTTAATCGGTTTTCAAAACAACCGTACAAATGTAAAAGTATTTAAAAGTATCTAATAGACCTGTGAGTATCAAATTTTCAATGTTTTATTTTATTTATTTCCCGTAGCATTCCAATAAATAATGGTTTAATTTATAGCTAATATCTTTGGTGTAATAGACTCACTCTGCTTGGGCTGCGACTTGGTGGATCGATCGTAGATGCTGGACAGGATGGCCACGGCGAGGACGAGGACGAAGAAGCGGACTGCCCAGGTGGTGTTGCGGTCCCAGGGTCGCAGATCCCGCACCTGGCACATCTGGGGCTCCACGCGCACATTGAAAGTGATGCCGGTGGAGGCGGTCTGGTTGGCCAGGAACTCGGCCACACTGAACTCCACATCGCGGGCGGAGCAGCCGGAGGGCACGCAGAGACCCCAGTTGATCAACGAGTACCGGGGCACTCGATGGCCGGGCTGGAATTGAACAAAAAAAAAAAAATAATAACAATGAGGCTAGCGATAAGCGGCTAATGACGCAGGAGAGCTGTCCCATCCTCCAGGTTAATTGAATACTGAATCAGAGGGGTCTGTGACCGAGCCCCCCATCATCCCACCACCATCCCACCATCATCACACCATCCCATCATCCCACCAGCCCAGCTGAACAATAAACAATGACTAGTTGAGCGGGATTTGAGGCAATTCAATTAAGCCAGGTCGCGTTTGTTCCGGTTATTCACTCGCCTGCCATTTTTTCAATTTACAATTAGCTCTGTTTTAAGCTAAATTAACTTTTAACTTGCTCAAAAGTAGGGATTTTCCTTAGTTTGATTATTAACACTTATAAAGTATATTTGAATTCAAATTTCTCAACCATTTTGTTTAACCACTTAACAGAAAAAGGAAGCTAGCTTTGCAATCCAAAACTTGGACAATCTTGCAGCTTTAGATACAAATTAAAAATAATATAACTATACTATGACTCCCAAATATATACTCAATATATCACTACGTTGCAAACTTCTCACTGAAACTATAATACCCTTTGCAAGGGTATAAAAATACTGATGCAACATTTTTTTTAAATATGTAAATATTGAAACAGAAAAACAGTCATAAAATCGAATGACTTCTAAGCAATTGTGTATGAAAAAGTGTCTTAATAAAATGCGTAATACCTTAATACATACATTAAATCGTTGGATATTAAATAACAGCAGAAAATGTAAGTATAGAGATTAAATTTCAAAGTATAAGCTTTATATTATTAGTACCATTATTGTATTATTGATTATACATAATTCCTCTTTTCAGATAAATTTTTTAATGTTTATAAATTTACAAGTATCATTAAATTTTCTAGAATATATAATTAGTTATTATAAATTCTCCTGATGACATTTTATTTATTTATTTTAGTTTTGTTACCAAACCACATTATTACCAATTTATTTTTATACAGACTTCACTTTTAATGTCATTTTATTAATTTAGTTATATTTTTTTATCAATCAAATAGAGTATTTTAAAAAAGTTGCTAACATCATCTAAAAAATTGAATTAAATTGAAAGCGAAATAAGAACAGGTCAGAATTGTTGCTTAAATGCTTTCAGATAAAATATATTCACATAACTCACATTATTGGCGACATAAGTGAATAAATCACAACAAACAATTCATATTAAAATGTTTCTTTTTCTCCATGTGGAGATATATGTATGTATATATCCGATTTCTGGGTTCACTGGCCGAGCTTCGCTTAGAGCTTCGATTTCTGCGCTGTGATTTGTGATTTGCATTTTACGGCCATCTATCGCGTTTGATTATTGTGCTTTGCTTTTCGATGCTTTGGCATTTTTCGTCTTTGGTCAAGTTCAATGTCGAAGTCGAACGTTTTAGCGGCCCAATGTTAATCAATCTAATTGGCCAGTTAATAACTTTCACAAACATACACAAAAATAATGTATTTAAACAAAAACTTAAATAAATATATTATCGGAAAGTCCCAAGAAACCCAATTGACTTTAAAAATAAATAAAAACGTAGGATACTGTAATGTTTCAAAATTATGAAATGATGATCCTGTTATTAATTTTTAAATGAGTAAACTAAACTAGAAAATAACCACTTCTAGAAGTCCCATCCAATTCAATTGACTAAAAATTCAAAAATTTAAGATACTGTACATTTAAGTATTCCAATACTAATGCTTTCATTATTTTTTGTTTTTTGAGGTGAATAAAATTCGGTAAAGCCCAGTGATTCAGTATATTGTTTTGTTCTGCTATCACAGACACGTGTGCTCCATTAAAGGAACCTCAAGCTGGACTTCAAATCCGGATACTCACGTCATTGAACTCGCTTTTGAAAGGCCCATGTGATTGGATCAGCTTGAAGAAGCTCTGCAATCGCTTCGAATTATGGGGCAGAACTGGCTGAGCATAGGCCAAGCAATACTGGCCACGGATAATGGAGTCCTCTCCCTGATCCTTGTCCGCATCCTGATCCTTCATCCGCTGCTGAATTCCCAGGCATTGATCAAAATCGCCGGGTTGATTGATGTTGCCATTCAAAATGCCCGAGTTTATTTTGCCACTGGCATCGTGCACTATTTTGGAAATATTAACAAGAAATTACTCTATTATAAATATATAAATGAATAAATTAAAATAATATTTTTTATGTTAATTTAACCTACTTTTTAAGTTGTTTGTTTAAATCCTATTCCCTTTTTTATTCAACTTTTTTTGTTCACAAATGCAAATTAAATTTCTCCCCTATTCAACGGAGTTCTATTTTACTTTGTTTAAAATAAACCAGACCCGTTTCTAAACTTTAATGGTAAATAAAGAACAACATCTTGCCGTTTTCACCAAAATAGTGTCAATAAACTTTAGATAAATTAACATCTTTATATGACTTTCTTGAAAGCTTGGATTTATGCTCAAGCTAAAAGAAAACAGCTAAAGTTTGAAATTTCCAATTAATTTCCATATCTATGGAATAGTATTCATGCATACTTAATTTTTTGCTTAAGTATTTAAGATTGATTTAATCCTAATGACTATTAAAGCTGTTAAAGCTATTAAAACTTAAATATATATTTTATATATATATATTTTATATATATTTATAAACTAGAAGGTGACTTATATTCTTCTTGCTTACAAATATTTCTAATAGGTTTTCCAGCTTACAAAAATTAAAACTTTTTGTCTAGAGATGTAGAGCTCATATAGATATTCAATATTAATTTAGACTATCATAAAACATGTAATCTATTGACCTCAGCCTTAAGGTAGTCTTCTAATTCATACAATTGGAGATTCCTCGAATAGCTGAAAATGTGATCCATTCATGTTTCGCTTTCGGGTCTCTATTTTTAAAGGTGTGTGTGGTATGGGGCGGAGGGAGGTGGTAGGTGGGCGGCGGTGACCTTGACTGTGATCGCAACTCGTAGTGTTTCTCGTTCCGATTCTAAGCCTCAGTCGACGTCTACGTTGCGGTCTTTTGTGTCAAGTTCGCGTTCGCTGTTGCAATTGCAATCGTTATTTTCGCTATTTTCGCTGATGCTTGCAATTTTGCTGCTCTTGGCTGGAAATTCGCTAGATGCAACTGGCATTGCCACATGCTCGGCTGTGCGAGTGTGTGAGTGTGAGTGTGAATGTGGGTAAAGTTCGACGGTTGGCCTTCACTTTAGATCACACACAGCTGCAGCCACAGTGCCGGGCAAAATTATGAGTCAAATATTTCCTACACTATTTAAAAAATTGTTTTTTATTAGAGTAACTCATGGGTTTTCAAAAGGAAATTAGTAATACAAAATTTCCAGAGTGCAAAAAAATTATTTGTAGTTTAAACTATTTAAGCTCATTATTTAAATATATCTATCTAGTATTAAAATTTTTATTTTATTTGCTGTTTTGTTTTTTGTTTATACAGGTATTCATTGAAAAACCAGATATATTTAATTTATAAATAAAGTGGTTTTATAGTTGCAAGTCAATACAAGTTATAAGTTCATATATGGTTAGACAAAAATGTTTTAATTGAAGAATTTAAACACTATATGTCTATAATGTAAGTCACAAATTGTTTGAAAAACACATTACATTTAATATTCTTGCTTGCCTATGCTACTATTATTTTGCCCATAATTGTATCATTTGATGCATTTGACTTTGGGGTCTTTCGATTCATGTCGACTCGTCTGGCGGTCACGTCGAAGTTGCCAGTTGGCAATGACTCGAATTCAATCTGAACGTCCCCCGACTGGTTCTACGGTTCCACGGCTCTGCAGTTCTATGGATCCAGCATCAGGCAGCCATTCATCCACCCATCAAGTTGTCCAACTATCCACTTGCAGAACAGACCAGAACCCCAGCTGACTTCGGCTGAATCTGGCCAATTTGTTGGCTGTCATGGGGCGACCTTGCAGTTGGCCCCACCTCCACCTCTCGATTCAAGTTTGTTTACTCAGATATTTTGTGTACTCACTCTTCAGTGCCCACAGATCGAAGTTGTCCAAGGCGTTCAGAAACTGATGCATCTGGCGACGACACAACGACGAGGCATCCGGATTTCTGGCGGAATCGAATGGTTGCGTAATCGCCAAAAAACGCCTGCCAATGTTGTACAAATAAACTGGAACACAAGAATTGTATATAAAATTATTAATAATTATCATCTTTTTGTACTTATATTTATTGTTTACGTATTTTAAATAAATGTATTACAAATTATATAAACAAACATTTACAACTGGATTGAAATGTGCGAAACGCTATCATTTTACAGTTGAGTAAATTAAATGTTTTCGTTTGATTGTTTATTATTTGGATACATATTTTCAATAAATGTACTACAATTTAATAATAACTGTTGCACAAAACTCAATTATTTAGTTTCAAATGACCCAAAATTGTTTCAACCCAAAACGATTTCATTAAATACAAAAACTTTCCGCTAAATGAATTTTCCGATAGCATTTAAAGTGAGCAGTTAAGTAAATTATAGTGTATTGCAATTACTATTTTGCTGCCCCATCATTTAACACAAAGCTGCCCACATAGAAACCATATTTGTAATTTATTTAAATTCATATTCAATTGGAATATATCAAATAAGATCCAGTTGTAGAGCTATACATTTTAATAGGCATACGAAAATAAAAGAAGTTCGATTTCACATAAATAACAAATAATAACGCTGGTTGTTAAACCAATCTGTGATTCACTGTAACCCAAATAAGCAAACGTAGCTGCAAGTCGGCCAAGCCATAAAATTATTATTCATATTTACAAGCAAACTCTAACCCGTGATCATCAAATATTAATACTTTTCTAACGGCTCGAAAAAGCACTTGGGGTCTAAGTGGATACTTTTGAACTATAATTTAAACAATCATCATAGCCAGAAATACAATGTATCTGAAACGGAAAATTGATCTATATATGATAAAAATGATTGGTTATTGACAGTCATTGTTTTTAAATGTGTAATTTTGTCTAGTTTTTCGACATTTTTTGATCTGCACTTTACTAAATTATCATATAGAAAATGAGTAAAGGATATGTATAATTTAGTTTGAAAACGCAAAGGATGTTAAAGATCATTACGCTGTTGTTTATTAATTTTGTTATGTAATCTTAAAAAAAAAATGCATGAATAGTATTTTTTCCTGGAGGCTTAAAAAAAATGAAGCATGATTAAAAGCTATTTTGAACAGTTTTTTATTATGCCATTTAATAAATGCATATGGGATATGTGTAATTAAGCTATAAAGGAATCTTGCAATTATTGAACATTAAATTAATGTTTGTTAATTTGGAAATTGTCAGCTAAAAATGATTAAATCGGAAAAATCGACTTTTTTTTGGGAATAATTTAAAGCGATTAATTTGTACTGTTTTTTGTTGACTGTTTTGAGCTTAGGTTCAATTTAATATTTATATGTACATGTTTTATATGAATATAAATGTACAAATGGCATTAAGTATATGACTAATCAGTGATCATGTTCCCTTTATCGGTTGCAGGCCATTCCCGCCTTTTAAGGCAGTCCATATGCACATGTGGACTCCAAATTGGACAAGGTCAGACTTCTGGGCACGTGGCTGTCAAAAAAAAAAAACAGGAAGTCGCCTGAGCAGCCATTCATTCAGATCTTGGTTGGATAATGAGGCGCCGCCGACATCTGCCCAAAAACTGGCCAATGGATGAATGGATTGGATGGACTGGCTGGACTGGCTGGGTTGGAAACAACCCCTGAGTGTTGGAGAAGTTCGAAAGCAAAGTTCTAAGCCGACATTTATTAGCATGCCAAAGCTGTGCCCCAATCCGATTAACATTGTCATTGTCATGGTGGGGCTGTCGCCAAGCTGGCCACTTTTTATGCTAGGCAGCTCTCATTTGAAATGCCGATCGCGTGGCTTCTAAAGCCATCGAACATCGATCCATCAGTTGCCGCCTGCGTCCGTCTTTTCGGGGCGTAGAAGAGGGTCGAAAAGGGGGCCTAAAAGGGGTCGAAGAGGGGATCTAAGGGTGCTTTAGGTTTGCATTGATAAAAAAGTTATTTTTCGCTCTGATTTTCACCCAAAGCTGTTCTTAGTTCTTTTAAATATGGTAATATTAAATATTTTTCTATAATTGATCTGACTATTTTCGAAAATTAGAATCATTTGATAACAGAAATAATTATTTGTAAAACCGTTTTAAACATAAATATAAGGCATATAAACCAAATATGAAGCATTTGTAATCCAATAATTTCAACATTAATGCAAATGTCTTGCATTGCATTTAATAATTTGATTTTATATTCAATTTTGGATTTAAAAGACAGCTATTTGTTTTGACTTTTCCATTTTGTTGAAGGGTGGTCTGGTATTGGGGGTGCCTAAGGTCCCTAAAGTGGGTTCCAAAGAGCTCATCTCCGACTGCTCGGCTAACTGGGCAGTCCCCAAAGTGCTTAAATGCGTCAGACTGCGACGAGATCTGACTGCCAAATGCCAGCTGTCGTCATATTCTATATATATACGATATACGGTCAAAACTAAATTTGGAAAACTTGCCAGCTCTCTAGGTGGAGACGAGGAAGAATGGAAATGGGGAATTCTACACCCGATCCGATCAATTGTCAGTCCCGGCACATGAAGATGTGCCAACAATGGCAGCCGTGCGAAACATTTACAACCGGCTTGGTTCCCTTCGCTCATTAGCATCGCAAATTATGAAGATTCTGAGACATTGATATGACAAAACAGATCTTGAGGATAGTTCGTAAATGTCGTGAGCTGTGGTAACTCCCTTGAGCTGAATTTCAATGTTCCAGGAAACATGGGGTTGAATATATGGTTTTTCATTTCAGGCAAAAAAACATACTCCTTGTAAAAATATCGTAAAAAGTTCATTCATTCAACATTATCGTAAAAACCACAGGATTCCAATAGTTACAAACGAAACCTTTTAACAAATTATTATGCAATACATTTAAAATTGTGTAAAAAGCTTAACTTAGAGCATCTTAAATTTGGGGAATCGACTATAAAGTTTATAAAGTTTTTATGAACCTCCAGATTCCTCTTTGATCGTAAATACTAGACCATAAAAACCAAGACGATCTCCTCTTTTGACAATGAAATGAAAAGTATTCAGCAGTGGCTCAGCGATGTGCTAAATATAAGCCAGAGAATGTTGTGCTAGTGAGACCATGTAAAACAAGAATCGCACTTTGGACCGTAAAGTCAACGCAAGTGGCAACTGGCTGCCAGTTGGCGGCTTAATTAACCGTCTATCTCAGCTGAGTGTGCGTTTCGTATTCGTCTCTGACCCACTTGGCCAAGCAGCTAGCTGAAAAGTGAAAAACTAAGAAACACTAAGCACTGATCACTGAATCGGCTAAAAGCCAACAAGACAAGAGCCAAATAACTGGCAGCTGGACTCGCGATTTTGGTTGGCCAATTCCTGGCCAACGATTTCAGGATTTCCCAAGAGCGTTCTAGTTAGTGGATCTGGTTTTGTATTTTTGCCAGCCAGAATCGCATCGATTGTAATGGCCAGTTGTGGCGGTGAATGGGCTGTTTAATGACTTGGGACTTAGCGGCTTTGATTTATACCCACTCCGCATTTGTTTACGATCATCGATCTCGATGATAGTGCACAATGGGCCGGGCTTGTTTGCCAAAATGATTTCATGTTGCCAATTAGCGGTTGGGCTTCGCGCTAAAACCCCATCCATTTATTTGCACCTCCGCTGGAAACAGTCGAAACAAATCGATCAGCACTTGTCACTCTGCCACTTTGTTCTCGTTAACATTTTGTCAGCTACTGCAACGCGATCACGATCGACTTCGTTCCCGGATGAACGCTGTTGCCTGTATTTGTCCAGTTTACACAGAGAAAAAAGGATTAAGACAGCTTTGATAAACTTATATAACAAAAAAAAAATAACAAAAAACCATTATTAAAAAAAATATTTACATGCAATAAAAATTTTACAAATAAAAGAAAAACATAAATCTTGGTTAAAGCACAAGAAAATGTAAATATTTTTAAGCACCTAAAAAAAATTTTAACAAAAAGAAAAACCAACCAATTTTAGATCAACGTTCATTCAAAAAGATGTATAAATTCTAATAGTATCTTGTTTAAAAGAGACAACGTTAAAAGCGATACGATCCTTTTTGAATTTTCAATCGACCTTAAGAAATCTAAAATAATTAACAAGCTTGTTATCTATACTAAATTTGTAATATTTTGAAACCGAAAAAGTGTCTGTTTTACCCCTAAGTTCTCCAAAATGAATAACACAATTTTAAAACCCAACTTTAAGGTTTTAAATATTTTACAGTAATTGGCTTGATTCCAAACTTTGTGTTTGGTGCACCACAACTAAACTCAACTTAAGTCAATATTTACAAAGTCAATTGGCAGTTTAGCTTTGGTCTGCCACCGAGATAAAAAACAGCTTGTTGAGCTGGTGGCCAATTTGCCACCGTTTCGAAGTTCTTGTTATCTCAACGGTTTAGATACATATATCTTAACCTTTCGGTGGACTCATCACTGCCGTCATTTCCATCACCATAACTATTAGGTAAATCTTTTGCGAGTTTTGCATTTTTTGTGAGCAACATGTTTTGCGTTTTATGACAGCCTTTAACGGTACTTGGGGCCTGGTCAAGTGGTCGCGCACTTATGGATGGATGATGATGATGGGTTCGAGATAATATGTGGTATATGGTATGCACATCGCGGGCGCGACAAAATACAAAATACAACAGCAACAAATCGGCGACAAGCACTTGGGGAAGATCAATTACAAACAAACGAGCCACAAAGTGGGCAAAAAACCGAAACCGAAACCAAAAACCACTTAAGTTGGCTTAGCGACTGGGCTGGGCCCATTTTGGATTTGTTTTAATGCGACTACGACTACGAATGGGGAGGTAAAACATCTTCATTGGACATAACACTCAGAATTGGCGCTTCTAAAACGATATTTGTTACGCACTGGCGGCTGTGGAGTGCTCTTGCGGAAGTGTGTTAGCATTCAGTTGGGTAATAGTGGTGGTAAATAATGATAAATGGAGAAAAGTTAAGGTTACGATATTCGTTACGATATTCGCTACGATATTCGGTTAAAATACTTACTGCAATGAACAACTGATTGAGATATATGATTTTTGGTGCAATAATTAAAAACAATTTACGATATTCTATACGATATAAAATACGATATTCGACAGAAAAATGTATAAACACGTTTAATAATAATTGTAATAAAGATATTTAAATAATGTCAAATTGCGCTTACAATAAACGCCTGGGTCGATAAACAAGTAACACAACGATTATCAAATAATAACAACGTTTACATTACGCATTTCGCCATGACTTTAAATATCTTCTTTGTTAAGATATATCAACTACATATTTGAAAATATAAAACAGCCTAAGCGACTGATGTATAATAAGATGCTGCTTAGCAATTAAAATAATTACATCTGTAATTTAAGGCGATAACAGTTGAAACAATTATACGGGTAAAACCTCCAAAATTTGTGTATTTCGCTTACGTGAGTCTCGACCTTATCACATTATGCAGAGCAAAATGCAATTAAATACAAAGAAAAGAGAAACAAATTGTTTCGTTTACGTGAGACTTCGCACATTGCCTTGACCACAGCGCTCCAAGGAACCAGCGAATATATCGGGGCAATGGGGAATAATGTGTCTGGAAATCCCCCTAATCATCGCAAAAGGTCCTAACTTTTAGTGCAAATATTTACACCGGAAAAGAAAATAAAGAGCCATGCAAGGCCAAACCTTTTAACAAGAATAAGTGAGTAACAAAACGAGAGACATCGATTAGATAAGTGAAGATTTTCGGGATTGGCTCACCATATAGCCGGAAGTGGTTAAAAAGTTCGTCATCGGGGGATTCAATTTACCGATTAACCGATTAACCGACTTACCAATCAAGAGACCTGGCCAAAAGGCATAAAAAAAAAAAAACTATTATATTATTTGACGCACGCGCCTCTTATGCAATCGAAAACCCCATTTACAATTGCAGAAATCACTTGTCAAGAGTTTTGTCACTTGCCCAAGGCCTTCAAGTGGGCGGCGTGAGAAAGTAATCGGGGTAATGGATCGGTGGCACTTGACTTACCCCTTTCATCCTCCTCCACCTCCTGAGCCTCGTCATCGTCCATTGTGGTGGTGGAGAGGTGTTCCATTTGATGGAGTGTGTAATTTCCAGGCGGAGCGGCATGCAGCTGACTGAGATTGGCCGTCTGGTATTCGAGGATCGTGGTGGTCGCATCATCGGCAAAAAGCTTCAGACTATAATTGACCTTATCCTCGAAAATTGAGGCTATTTTGCTCTCCAGCTTGTCGGCGGACACATCTCCGGATTCGGAGGCGGAACTTGCTCCGGCCAGGAGATTGTCGCCCAAGTTGCAGTTGTCCTTGAGATTGCAGGTGGGCTGGACCACCACCCCATTACAGGATAAAAGTGCTGCCAAAATCAGGGCTAAAATTGCCAGCGACATCCTTGCTACCAGGATCCTTTCTTGAGATTGCCTTTCAAATTACTTTTCTCTCAGTACTTAATAGCAATTGTCTGGCACATAATCACCAACAACCAACACACACTCAACAAAGAACAAGGGGAACCAGAAAAAAATATGAATATATCTGTGCAATATATATATATATATATATATATATTTATATTTATATTTATATTTATATTTAAATATTTAAATGTATCGAAAGATGTGTAACTCCGGCGAAGATCGAAGATCGTTCGTTAGCGAATTAAATTAGGCGACCGCCAAGACGAAACATTCAACGTCAACTGATTGTCCAAATGCCGCCGAGCATACGAAGACCGCTCAGGTTCGGCGGTTCGGTGGTGCGGTGGTTCGGTGGTGCGGCGGCTGGGTGGTTCGACGGCTCAGCGCGTGTATGTGAGTATCTGTGAGCCGCCGATCGTATATCTGTGTTAGCCACAGACCGAATTTCAAAACCAAATGCAAGCCGAATTTCTAAGCGAATGCGTCTGAGACTGCGGCACTAGTGATTCCGATTCCGATTCAGATTCAGATTCCAATTCCCAATTCCGATTTCCATTCCCGCTCCGCATCGCATGACCCACTGTTCACCTGTTAATCCGGCCAAGATTCCCAGACTCTTCTTCCCACATTCGACACTATCTTTTGAGCTATCAACTGCCAATTGTTACTGCCGTGGAAGCCATACATACGTTTCAAATTGCAGCTATCAAAAAATGTTATTGTTTCATCAATAGCAATGATTTTTATGTATTACAAGCATGAAAAAGAAGCATAGCCATTTACGGTATTCGATTAGAAATAATCACAAAAACTTTAGACATTTAAAAAATTTGTATGAAATTATAAAATTTCAATAACATATTATGACAATCAATATTTATTTATATTTATGAAAACATGTATATGAGCTAACCTTTAAAGAAATTTAAAATCAAAAACAGAACAGAAAATACATTTTATTACACTTTTATTTCAACTTGAAATGAGATTGCAATAAAAATCAAAATCCGCCAATTAATGCAACATTTCAAATTGGGACTTTGTTCCCATTCCTGTGTCATAAAAATATACTAATAAATTTGACCAAACTCGATTTTATTATTTCAAAATAAGAATTTGTTTTTGCGTTACACATTGAAAGAAAGACGATTTTGCAAACTGGCATGACACGACAGATATAATAAGTGAGATGTAGAAAGAATCACAGAATCCAGGGGAAAGGGTGAATGACATTTAATATACAAACAATACCTAGAGGCCGAGTTGGCCATGAAGATTACGAAATGGCACAATAAAATCTTGCTGATCAATCGCATTAGAGGCCAGGCGCAAAAACGTTTGAATACATAATTACAGGCAATCTGCCAACGTTGGCCAATAACTCGTTTCGATGACAGCCAGAAAGAATCGTCGGATGACTGTCCAAGATGACCAAGGAATCCACCAGAACCCACCTTCATCGATGGTGCTGCTAAAAACACAAGGCACACGAAACATTCGCAACCGAAACTGACGCAAAAATCCATTGAAAGTGAGTCCGGTCTGGTCTGGTCTGGTTGCCAATATCAAATTACTCAAGCCGACCCGATGCCGGCAATTTGCAGCTCAGTTAGCCATATAGCCATCTAGCCATCTAGCCATATAGCCATGTGGCCATTTACCCAGAGTCAGAGCTATAGACATAGATATAGCTACAGCTTTAGCCATAACACGATTTTGGTCGGCGGGTTCTTGCAACAGGCGCCAATTGCAAGCGGAACCAGAGCAGTGCCAAAAACAAAACACACATCGCCCCCAGGTTTATACATAAGTATAGGTGTTTAAAAAATTAAAACAAGTGTTACGACTATGCTGCACCTTAACTGTTATTAATACAAACAAAAACTCAACTTAAACACTATTAAAAAGCTAATAAAATAATTAATATAAGATTAAACTAATTTAATGCTTGTGCCTACATATATCAAATAATTTTATGTGTTTGTAGGACTTTCTGGCACCCTAACTATTATCAATTCAGACAATAACAAATGCAAAAAATATATCATAGAAATATATGTATATCTATGACTTTGTGCATCCTTAACTTTTAGCAATACAAACAAATACTTTAAAATCATAAAAATATATTAAATTATGTCATGTCATCTTTTAAATACATTTTAGATTTAGATGTTATCAAATTCGTAGCTTAATAATCCACATTTTGTGTCCTGTTAAACGAAAAGTAAAGCAATTTATAATGCTATTAAATTCATTATTCATTTCGAATTTTCTTTTGAAATAAATGATTAAAAACCTTAATACTATTAAATAATCCAATTCCATCACAACTTCAATGCTGACTAAATAATATATTGCTCTTCTATCATTGTATAGCTGGCGAACATATATCAGGTAGTGCAATTAAATAAATTTAGAAATGAAGAGAATATTTAAATGAATAAACCATTGCAAAAAATATATGTGAACCAAACTAGCCATTCAACAAACAAGATTTACTGGGAAAGCGAAAATAACCATTCTCTTTCGTCGGGTGGCCAAAAGGAAGAATGTGGCAATTGACTTTGCGACTGCAGATCCTACACTGTAAGAAGTTTAAAACAATAAAAGAAAAAAAAATGCAAACAAAAAATATAAAAATGCACAAATACATTTGTTTACATTTTATATAGCCATTTTACATTATCGATTACATTTAAAAAAGTAATCTAATTAAAAACCTGGGGGACCAAAATGTTTAAGGATTTATACGTAGTCTTGTTGAATAGGAAATTTACTTCTAGGTGTTTACATAAAATTAAAAATATTTTTAATAGTAATATTCAACAAAATATTTTTCATTTTTGACTTAATTAAAACAAAAAACTAAAACCATAACAAAATAAGAGTTATTTAATATTATTAAGGATATTGACATAACAAGAAAAATTCATTTCATAAAACTATATATTTTCTATAAGAAATTAACAAAAAATGTACATTTCTAGTAAAATGGAATCGAGTATTTTTTTTTTGACTGACGCTGTGGCTATGGCTATATGGCTATCGTTTTGGCCATGTCTGTTTGAGGGGCCTGTGGCAATCTGAGCGAGTTTGGTTCCGCGGAACCAACAACCAACGTCGACGGCGACTCATTAACAGGCCAAGTTGCACGTTGCCTGCTGCTATTTTTCAAGAGGCAACAACCAACGTCCAAACGGCAACGTGCAACACTTGACTTGCGGCTCTAAAAAGTGCCTGACTGACTGACTAACTGACTGTCTGCAGTTTGGCAATTGGGCAAGTTTTTGAAGTTTGCGATCGGCCGCTTGGCCAATTGAAATGTTGCCGTCTTGGCTTTTTGGCATTTCGTGCGAATTTTCCCGTCTGACTCTAGCTCCATTAGCCATCTAGAATTCTTGTTTGCTTGGGCAAACAGCAGAGGGGATGGGCCCTCTTCCCTTCGAAATTAATATTTAATGCTGCACTCGAACCGGTTTGTGCCCCCACCGGCCAAACAAAGAGCTCTTTCCAAATATTGTGTCCAACATGCACCAGCAACACTTGCGAAGCGACATCCAAAGATCAGCGATCAATGGCGAAAGATCAAACCCATCAGCGTGATGGCAACACTCGTGGATCGGCTAAGACCAACTAGGCGTATACGTACTGATAACACGATGTCTCCATTTGTTTGCATGTACAAATGTTTGCGAGGCAAACACGGTGCCACAAAACAATACAAATAACACAAATAACATGGAAATGCACACGAAACACGGCGTTGCAAAGCAAACACCAAATAGTGTAAAGAAAATGCAAAGTCAGTCATGCAAATTTAGTGCCAATAAAGATATACGGTTATTTAGAACGCGTTAAAAAAAAATAAAAAAAGTTAAAAAAAAAACAAATGAAAATAAATGGCATATATAAAAAAACAGTTATTTGAAGATGTTTGGCAAAAAAAAATTGCGTGATAATGCAAAACAGAATATGAGTAATAAAAAAGTTATTAGAACTAAAAGGAAACACAATTAATTGCTTAGGGTAACAATATTCAAAGAAATGTTTAAAAATTAAAAAAATACATATATCTTCGAGTCAAAAAACTTATGAAACATTATTCTTCTTTTAACTATTTTTTATAATTCAGTAAAAAATAATTAATGGCTGACAATAATCCCTAGAAAAATACCAAATCGAATATTGATGAAGTGCCAAGGAAGTCTCTCAATAATTGTTAAAAGAAGCTTAAACTTTACTGCGTTGGTCCATAACAATAAACATAAAAAAACATGTAATCACTGATAAATATGAACAAATAGCCGATGCTTAGATTGCATTAGACACACGCTTATTTTTCCATTTTTGGGATTTCCAATCCAATCAAAGATCCACTTTTGTTAGACCGTCGTGGGAAGTCAATGGGTTGAGTGTGTCTCGAATAGCCCCTGCATTCGCCTATGCATTTCGATGAATTATATGATGTTGGTGGTGATGGTGATCATAAATGTGGTTGATAATGATGATGCCGATCAAGTTTGTGTCTTGTCTAAGTCTTTTGTTTTGCTGCAGTGGTGAGAGGGTATTGCGTTATGTACCTTGCACTGAAAAATACGCATTAATGAGATTCAATCTGTATTATATTTAGTTTCTGGTAGCAGTATTGTTTTACATTTTAATTTGATTGATTTAAATAAATCCTCAAATTTTCTAATATTAAATAATAGTTCTACAAGTATTTATATTTTAATTTTATAAATATTTAAATCTATCAAATGTAAAAGACATAATATTGATAACACAACAAAATTCATTTTTTTAAATATAAAAAATTATAATTGTGTTTAAAAGATCTTTAAGTTAAATAAATTTATGATCTAAATTTATGGTCTAAAGCCATTGTTTTTGTTCAAAGCTTTGAATACAAATTTTTCAAATTTTGGTTCATAGAAACCATTTATTTTTGATAAGCCATTTAACTTTTTTAATTTTTTCCGTGTATTTGCATTGGGTGCCTCTTCAACCTGCCCCGCCCCCCTATTCGTTTGGCTTTCGCTTCGGCTTTCAATTCCTGCAGCGACCTTGGTAGTTGTAACCCATTTTCGTTTTCAATTTCGATTTCGACTTCAATTTCGCTTTCAACGGCGGCCACTGCAACGATTTGTATACGGAATTTTAAACAGTTTCTTTGTCGTACATATCGTATTTTGTGTTGGCCACGATATATGCATATGCCGATGCCGATGTCGATGTTGATGGCTCTTGGCTGATA